CTCCTAAAATGCCACACCAGCGTAACGAATAGAGAGAAGGAAAAAAGTTGAAGGCAGATGAGAACATAGAGCCAAGAGGTTTCTGCAAAAATACACTCCTAAGCCACCATGGTATCCACATAAGCGGGATTAGGTGAGTTGATGGATCTGATGTCAAACGTTTCACTTAACGAAGTTTAGTGAGTTCTTAGTCGTGATTCTAATTCAAATATGCTGACATAATTGCACATATGTGGAAAATTTCGTGACCTCCAAAGCATTTTAAACACCTAGTAGAAAAGTGTTCTACAAATATGCACCCAATGCAAGCTTATGCCAAATTTGATTTATATAAGAAATTCAACAAGAAAGTGGGAAATACAAAATTAGTAAGGGCAAACACAACAATTGTCACGATAGCATGTATAGATATGCACCAAAGTCATAACTATAAACCTTACATAGCTGAATTTGAAAGGTACTTGGCTTCCATAAGGAAGCAGACTCATGTGCTAAGCAAGCGCCAGTAGTTCAGTACAAAGATAAGTAAAACTATTTATACTCACAAGAGCTGGATGGCTGTTGATGGTCTCAAGTATGTACTTCTCATGACCCCATTCAAGATGGCACCTTGCACCTACCACTAGTGACATTTTTCTTGAACCAATTCGATGAGTTGACCCTTCCCCAACTAATGCCTGAATTAGATAATAAGCAACAGAAACACTAATTATTAAGTAATGGTAACTGCCAGTGCACAATACTGTTCATCTTCCTATAATGATGAATTCAAATATGAAATATAAGCAAAAAATTAACAGATAATGGTATAAATAAATTTACAACAATTAAGTCAATATTAGTACCTGAATTAGATGCCACACTTTCTGCATAGTCACTGACTTTGTGCCAACAGCATCAACAGACAAGGACTCATAAGCAGCCCTAAAAGCCGTAGCAGGCTACACAAAAATACGACATTAATGAGCTCAAGCAGAATTAAGATGGAGCATCAAGAGAAATTTGTCATGGTATGATGATAATATATCGAAGAGCATACATAATAGAAACTTAAGCTATTAATCAAAATTGAATTCTTGGATAATGAACTTTAAATGGTTTAAATTTCTAATTTCTTATGGCTGATAATATGCTTAATCTTAACATAGATGTAAAGAGCGTACATTAAAAGGTAGACTGCGTCCTCTAGCATCATTGAGGTCCCTCACAACCCCAGCATAAACTGAAGATTTTTTTTCGATAATAGTCTTGTTCAGTATAGACATGACTTCTGCAGAAGGCAGGCCTGATGGAGCATGAAGATTGGAAGTTGATGGTGGCATTAAAGCAGGGCGAGCCAGCCCACTGGTCGAGAGATTAGTGTTTCTCTTGGGTAATGTAGAAAGCCGGCTTAGACTCTGCAAGAAGTCTCTCTTCTCTTTCTGCCAGTCATCCTACAGGAGACATAATATACAGTTATCGAACTACAGAGTGAAATCACTGAAAAAAAATGCATGATGACACAGGCTAAAGTGCTAATGTCCATTGTGGCAATGAAAAAAGTGTAGAAATATTAACTCTCTAAATGGTAAAAGTAAAGTGTTATTTACATTATACCAGATTAACCAAGGTTGTTGTCAGAATGTAAAAGTTGTCCAAACACAAATCTAAATTCAGATGATAAAGAAACTTGAATAGCTAATCAAACATACACCAGGTTGATTCTGCAACTATTAGCCCTGATCAAATATTAATTGAACGGAATAGATGGAAGCAAACCAACCTCAAGAACTTGCATCATATAGTTGTTAAAACTCCTTAAGTTGTCCTTTTGAGCTTCTTGGATGGATGAAACTATGGCCATTTCATGAAGCTGAAAACATAATACTGTGTTTATACTCTGTGAAATTCTGGCGAGTATCTAATCAGAGCGATATTAAGTGTTCACCTGCTGCAAGTACTCCTCAACAGTAGTTGCTTCAGATGGAAAAACATCCTCAAAGGTTGTCTGCAAAACATCAAATTTGGCCACATAAGATTTACATACATTAGTTGTGCAGCAAGTGATATTTTAGAAGCTGAAAATCTACAATAAAAGGCACATATAGAAGCACAGCAGAAAATGACATATTGAGTTCTTTTCTGATCAATTAGGTATCTATTTGGCAAATGTGCCACGACATACACAATTACACATGCACATTAAGGTTTTACTGGAACCAAAATGGTGTGGAGGTCAATCTTAGAAAAGAGTGTAGCACCATACAATTCATTGAGTAGATCCTTGTTCTCCATGATGTAATTCATGCACAAAATGCCAAGTGTCTTTTTTTTCTTAACCAAAATGGCTGGAGAGATATGAGGGTTGTGGCTATGTTCGATGACTTATTTCTTTATTAGTAAATCATGTTCTGTATGATAACTGATAAGGGAATAAAGGACGAGTCATCTTACTGTAATAAGTAAATAATTAGTACACGAGGGAAGTAAGGGTGGATTGTCACATCACAACAAAAACATGTGATGTATTTTCGAACTAGTAGCAGCTTCCAGTGCAACCAGATAGTCATGTAAATCATGACAATGCTTCTGTGAATTCCATATCCTATTCTGCTTCAAACAAACCTAGATCCTCTATTAAACCAAATCAATTGCTCGATTTTTCAACACCACTGAAACTAGTCATATCACTATATGAAATGTAGCCCTCAATGCACTATTTCTGGCCCAGCAGGCACGCTCATCCATTACCTTGAGTTCGAATGATTTGAGGTCCCTGGCGAGCTGCTCGGCGTTGATCCCCTCGCGTGCTAGCAATCTGCATTAGTACAGCCCAAACCCTAAGTCCCGACAAAATTATAGAAGTGGCACTTGCAATTCAGGCAAAATAGAGAATGCACAGAAAGGCTCCCCAGGCTAATCAAGTGGGTTCCGGAGATTTGTCTACCTGGTGGCGGAGAGCGACTGGGACGGAGCCTCAGCGCGGATGGTCTTGGCCTTGAGTTTGGTGGAGAGCGCCTCGAGCTGGTCCAGGTTCCTCTGCAGGAGCCAGAAACGAACCCTTCAGGGGCGGAAGGGAAAAAGTGTAGCCGGCGCCGACAGCGAGGAAAGGAGAGAAGCTGGAGGAAGGAAAGGGGAACGGCGTCGGGCGCACCTGAAGGGGAGGGAAGTGCGGGGTGGGCGCCGCCTGCTCGAGGAGCTTCGTGGAGGAGTGGAGAAGCCCCGTCCAACCGCCCATCTCCGCGTCGCCCCCACCTCCACCGCCGCTGCCGCTGCCACCGACGCCGGCCATCACCGCCGGACTAGGAGGGTTTTCGCTCGTGGTTTCGGGGGCGGAGGCTTCCGGCGCGGCGCTCGAGCTGTGGGGTTTTTGCCTTTCCGGAGAAGCGGTGGAGCGTTCTGCTGAAATGGCTGCTGGGCTGGGCTGGGGTCACGTGCATCGCTTGTAATCAGCCCTGTGGAGTTAGACTGTTGGGCTTGAGTCTAATAGCCGTACAACGTGCCTAGCGTAGGCCCATTTTAGCCCGCTGTACAGCGGGTTTAGGCTCTCGCGGATTTGGAGCAAATTGTTTTTTTTTTACAACAAGCAAATTGTTTTTTTTATTGCAACAAGCAAATTGTTGTTAGCTTGAGTTCTCGACTCTTGAGCAGTACTTCCTCCGTGCTAAAGTAGTCTTTATCTCACACTTCGTGGAATCAATGAATCTTAAATTTGATTAGATTTATAGAAAATATTATTAATATTTGTATCTCTAAATAGGTTTATTATAAAAATAGATGATGCAATTAATCTAACAATATTTAGGACATGTTTGATATATATGGCTAGTTACTAGTTGGGCTAAAAATTAGCCCAAATTAGCTATGATTTACTAACAACTAGTTGAAACTTGTCCAAAAAGTTTGCTTGCATTAGTCCTACTGTTTGGATGCAGTAGAGCTAATTTGGGCTAATTTTTAGTTAGCTAGCAATTAGCCCTTGAATTCAAACAAGCTCTTATTTGGTATCATAAATATTAGTATTTTTTATATACTTAGTTAAACTTAAGATTAATTAACTCCTCAAAATACAAGATGAGCATTTATTTTGAAACGTAGGGTGTACTATCTAAAATAGCTTCTTACTTGCCCTATTTTTCTGGGATCTGATTTCTATTGTCTCAAACAGTACTATTTGACTTGTTTGCGAGTGCTCTATTTCATGTTTTTCAGTTTCACTCCACGTTTTTCAACCAAACATGTGCATCTCCGCAAACTCTGGTAAAAAAAAAGGTGAAGTTTTGGAGCACCTAAAGAGTTGTTTCAAAAACTCCAGTTTTTGTGAGGCTGCTCCCCGATGGATTTCTTAGAGCATTCCCAAACTGACCAGGGTCTCTCTATTCTTTTTCTGTAATTTCGGCATACTGACCCTCTATATTCTTGCGTCTACAGTTCAACAAATCGAAAACAGACCTACTGTAGCCGTGAGGAGGCTTGACTCACCAAAGCTCCACACCACCACCTATCTACAAGTTATGCGCAACCTGATGTTATCAGCAAGATATAAACTTCAAATTCAATATCCCTAGCAAAAATACAAAATCAGAAATTCAGGAATATTTTTTTCAGTTTCCAACGTGATACATGTCACAGTTCATGAATCCATCAACTCTTCACCAAAACTTCCGATTGAAAATTTCCATTGAATTGATAAGAACTGATTATGCAGGCAACAGACTGTTACAATGGAAGGGGGTGTAGTGAAACTCTAGAGATCTAAGCTTCCATTCAAATGAATCTAACATCAAATGCAGCTGCTTGAAGAGCAGAAGAAAACCTAATGTACAGAAGTGACTACTTCAACTCCCTCCCCAGCCTATACATGATGTCTAGAAAAAATCACTCACATGACAACAGGTAACCAACAAACGACTTTATCATTGCATGCCTTGTTTGCAAAACAGCGTGCAGGTACCACCATGGAGTATTTCCCCCATGTTGAAGTCTCATTTTTTTACCTGTAAATATTGATCCTTAGGATCTTACCGAGCACGGGCAGTGGCCGGTTGTTTCGATGAGCGCCCAGACTTGTGCTTCCGCTTTTGGTTCACCACTGCAGCAGGATCAACCAATGGTCCAGACCAAGTAGGCACAGCGCCTTTCTCATATGTGAACACAGTGCTGAAGGAAGATGGGTCTGGAGGTTCGTATATCGGGTCCATATGATTTGAAGTATCCAAAGGGACACCAACCGCACCATCTTGATGTGGGGGAGGGAACTTTTCACTCTTGCTCTTCGCATTTGCATGAGTAATGAACCTTCTTTTCTGTAATCAGAAAGAAAAGGGTAAGCACAAGTTTGTTTTATGGTAGTATGGGCTTCCTTTTGGACCATGGCTGGGGACCCATCGTGAAGTCTACTTGGATGTAGGGTGTATTTTACAAATGTAGAGTTTATGTGAAAGACTGAAAGGGCGGGCTGAGACAAAGCAGTGGCTGCACTGCCTCAGAACATTGAACAACTCTATCCTAAGCTTATCTTATTAACCTCTAAAAAGACCAGCTCACAGTAACAAATTGTACCAAAAGTAACAAGTTCATTCAACATACATCGATGTTTACTTGAAGTTCAGCATTTGCCTCTGGAGCTGGAACTGCCTTAGGTCGATCACGTGTTCTCGTCTTCTTGGCTCCATCACCATTAGCTCTACCACCAGCAGCTCTTAAACTGTTGAACATGGTAGACAAGTCAGGTAGCATCATGGTAGTGTATAAGTGCTCAACTGAACTGACATGAGATCACAAACAGGGAGATGGGTCAGGGCCTCAAGGGTAGCACTAGGATATTTGGCTAGTTGCAGATATGGGGACACGCAATCAGTGAAAACTCGATCAGAAAAATGAGGCAGTAGTTGTCCTTTGACTCAATTATGAGGTCTAAAACATATTCAACAAATTACAGAAATCCAGGAGCTTTTAGCACAATTATGCCACTTAAAGTTTGACCACAGTTAGCACTAAATTTAACTAAAAAGGTTTTTTGAGAGAAGAGATACTTTTTGCTTTTGTATTGTATAATAATGGAAGCATAAACTAGTACACCATGTGTCCCTTTAGTCACATTCTCTCGTTTTCTTTTTTAACTTACAAAGGACATAGGTATTAACATTAAAATACCAGAAAAGATCTGGTCAATTTAAGTAGCTCACTTTTTAGCACTCATGTTTAACAGGAGTTGAAAGGAGGACGAAATGTCCTTTACATTTACTAAATCATGACAGTGTTGTTGTTCAACTTCTGTTTCAATGTTAATGACTCGTGGTAACTAGTGAGTACCTGGATAGATCCAAAGATCCAATGCCTAATAGGCTAATAACATGTTTGTTCTTTTCTGATACTAGACAAAGCTAGTGTTCACAAAACCTTCTAATAATGTGCACTCAAGTTTTTTTCTTGCCAACAGTAAGCACTTGCTAAGCATGGAACCGTACATTATCATACTAAGGTATTATTTCTACAGAAATATCTTATATGAACAATTTCAAATATCAAAATGTAAAAATTGCATATTTTTTAGGTTAGTGAGGCAAATGTAGATGAAACAATTGTGGTTTCCGACCACAAGAAAACAGAAGATAAATAAAACCTAATTGATCTTGCTCATTTGTGATTTTTTTTCTTTTGTGTGCGTAAGGATAGTGATGTTACCCCCATGAAACGCAATTATAGGCGGCAGTTGCTATGCTCATAGTGTGCATTTGTACAACAAGATTTGTTACTGCACACTCAAAGCAGATAAGTCTATGACACTGTGGATCATCCTAACTAATGAAATAAGTGGCAAGATGACAAACCGTCTGGCTTCTTCGTCTCTTCGTTTTGCATCTATTTCTTTGCTTGGAGGATATTTTGGAAGACTCGACGGTTCGCATGCAAAAGGTTCGGTTGTAAAGAACTGCACACATAGAAAGTTAACAGAAGGCATTAATACACAACACCAAAATATGCTACAAAACAAAATGTGTGACAAGGATGAGAATCTGGGTGCTATAATGCTATCATGTCAGGCGCTAGAAACCCCTACAGTCTCTGCTAGCCTAGATTCATGTAGTATTATGTTGTTTCTGGAATTAACCATATGATTCTTTAGTCCCAATGGAATCGTGAGAAATTGAGAATCATGGTCTAAATTTCCTCATATTGCACAAAAACAAATTGAGTTGTTTGGATATGCGATACACCTAAATTTTGACCAGTGGATATACCATTATGTGCCAGCAAAAGAAATATTCTCATTAATTTGTTAAACATCAAGTATTGTGTTCATGAAAATTAGTGAAGACTTCAACACAAATAAAGAATTTCAAATGTTTTGTGCCATCAAGTGGGAATAGGATAGTGTGAAATAGTAACCAGCTTACATCGCTTCTTAATGCAGAAGTCGCTGTTAACCGATCTGCTGGATCAATTGCAAGTAGTGTCTCGATCAACTGCAGTGCTGATTGTGGAAAATCCTTAAACGTCTCTCTTATTCGCCTTTTGTACGGTTGCTGAGGCTTAAATATTGTAGCATGAGGCAGCTTTGACTTTTTCCAATATTCTTCTGTTGGTGAGCCACACAACTTAAAAATTTTATGCAGCTGTTCCACCTAAAAGTGACAGACATGACTAGATCAGTGAAACATGGAAGATAAAGGCAGTTGCTATTCATCGGGTTGGATGGTATGGACAACATTAAGTGCACAAACAGTGCAACAGGTCATAGTTGAATCAGATACAGAAGACTGGATGCAAAATGAAAGAAAGCATGGCAATTTTCAAAAAGAAAATGGACAGAAAGCATGGAAATGAATGCTGAAACATGTGGCAATAATCAGAATATCAAGGAAGATAAATTTTTCACGAGATATTGCTGGACAGACATTTTCTATGCTGGCATGATTCAGTTAGAGTGGCTTGTTATACAACAGAAACTACAGGGGAGATGTTTCATAAAGAAATACACAAATAATAAAAAAGGAATCTTTCTCCTGTGGCTTCTTCTCACAAGTCACAGTACTATGATGAACAAGGGTATTTTCCGTTTTCACCTCGTCATGCCTGGTATTGAACATGGGTGAGGAATGGGAAGCAAACTAAACAACTCACTGCAGCCCCATCACCGACCATACCAGAATCGGCAAACTCATAAGTCAAAATGGGAAATTTTCTCCAAATATATAACAGAACTACATCAATCCAGAAATGATTCTGAGGCAAGCTACGTTTCACTGGAATGTAGTCAGATGTAAAGTATATCTAATTGAGATATTGTGAGGTTAAGAACTTTATGCCAACCTCTGTTCGTCCTGGCATAATTGGCCTCCCAGCGAGCAACTCGGCCAGGATACACCCTGCGCTCCACAGGTCCACACCCACCCCGTAATCCGTTGCGCCGAGAAGTAGCTCGGGTGGCCGGTACCATAGGGTCACCACCCGGCTCGTCATCGGCTGTTTACGGTCTGGGTCGAAGAATGACGCGAGACCAAAATCTGCAATCTTCAGCATGCCATTGTTGTCCAGAAGCAGATTCGAGCCCTTGATGTCCCGGTGCAGCACGCCGCGGTCGTGGCAGTGCTCCAGACCCGACAACAACTGATGCATATAGCACTTAACCTGCATTCCATTCATACGCTGTGAGCGCGTAAAGCTGATGGCACCCAGCGGATGCAGTGCGGTAACGGTGGTTGGGGATCTCGGGGACCTGTGGCTCAGTGAACTTGATTTCCGGGCTGGCGGCGAGGCCCGCGAGATCGTGCTCCATGTACTCGAAGACGAGGTAGAGGCTGCAGGACATTCGGGAGGTGACGAGGCCGTCGAGCTTGACGACGTTGGGGTGGTCGAGGCGTCGGAGGATGAGGATCTCGCGGGCCATGAAGCGGACGCTCTCGGGCTCGAGGTTGTCGAAGCGCACCTTCTTGAGCGCCACGATCTTGCCGCTCACCGTGTCGCGCGCCTTGTACACGTTGCTGTACGTGCCCTGGCCGATCTGCCCGGTGGCGCAGCCCACAGAGATGCAAACAAAGCTTTTGTCAGCACCCAATGGCGGCACCACGAACAGCGGGCGGGGGACGGGGAATGGGAGGGCGCGCGAGCGTACCTTGTCAATCTTCTCGAAGGAGTCGGCGCGGCGCGGGGTCCATCCGTCGATGGCCTCGCCGGCGACGGCGGAGAGCCAGGCGGGCCAGCCGGCGGCGACCTGCTCCCCGCGCGCCCTGTTGGCGAAGCTGGGGCCGGGGCCGAGGCCGCTGCGCGACGAGCGGGAGCGCCTCTCCCGCCGGGCCGGCTTCTCCGCTGGCGCCGCCGGCTGCTCGGCCTTCCCGGCGGCCTCCTGCGCTGCCGCGGGGCTGGCGGCTCGGGCGGCTGCGGCGGGTGGTCGGGGCTGGGCGCGGAGGGGCGGCCGTGGACGCAGCCCATGGGGGTGTTGCTGGTCACCGGCGGCGGCTCATGGGGCTGGGGGTGGGGACTGGGGAGGGGGAGTGGAGCGGGCGCGAGGGAGTGTGGACCGGGGAGGGGACCGAGACCGAGAGGAGAGCTGGCTGTGGCTTGCTGTGCCCGTGCTCTGGACTCCGGAGGAGGGTTTGTCTCTCTCAGTCTCAGCTGCTGAAAGCTGATGGGTCTCTCTCTCGTTTTGTCTGGTGTCCGTCCGGATCGTACCAGTTCGCTGGTTGGTTTGTTTTGTCACGAAAGGAAAACATTGTTGGTAAGCATATAACAGCACGTTTTTTTGCTCGTATATACGATCATGGATTATAAATTAAAATAATATTTTTCTTTCATATTAAATAAGTCAGCAGTAAATAATCCACGACGAAACAAACAGGCTGTAAGTTCTGGATGAGCAAACAGGCTGACGTGCTCATGCGGCCATTGCCATGTGAGGCTAGAGTAAAAAATGGACAGACTTTTTGCCGGAACGGATGGATTGGCTGTGATGGCTTCTCTGAAAAACCACGCTAAAAAGTATTATTCGTTGATTTATTGTGAGAAAAAAAAAGTCACACTAAAAAATATTGTTTGCGCTGATTTACTGTGAGAAAAAATACTATTCCATAACTGATAAGTTCAAGCGATACCTTTTACCCATGAAATAGCTCGTTGACTTAAGCTTGGTTATTTAGACTTTGGTTTGGTTGCTTTATTTTTGTCTTTTCTGCACGTCTTTGTCTTTCAACTTTGCTCGACTTCCTTTTACCCGGAAACAGCGGGACAATCAGTGCAAGGGACAAATGCTTCGCTTTCTTGTACATTGGCAAATATTAATGCCAGTAGTGTTAGGTAGCTCAAATATGAAGTCATAAAAGGTACTCTAATAAAAAAAAGTTCTCTCTTGTCTTATATATTTTCATCATGTTTGCTTGTTGGTTTCAACCAGCCTAAACCAATTAACCAATAGTATTTTTCTCTCACAACAAACTAGCACCAGCTAGCCTAAATTAGTCTAAAAATCAACTAGCGAACAGGGCCGTTTAAACAAGGGTATAGTATAGAGCTCCGGCACAGCCAATGGTCCATTTGGTTCACCTGTTGTGATACATGGAAAAAAATATTGTGAAAAAAAACGTAAATTGTTTGATTGAAACAACTACGAAATTTAACTCATCTATGTATATCATAAAACAGTTATAAAACATCTTTCTGTTTCCACCTATTTGGAAAAGTGAAAAACTAATAGTATGGTTCAAGGTGCTGCAAAAATTATACTATGTGAAAATAGCTGGTTTTGAAACCAAATCTATTTGCGGGTTTGTGAATAGCCCACCTTACATCCCCGGTAGCCGAGGCAGGAAGGATACTAGGGTCATGTTTAGATTGCAAAAAATTTCAACCCGATGAATAGTAGCACTTTTGTCTTATTTGGTAAATATTGTCCAATCGTGGACCAACTAAGCTCAAAAGATTCATCTCGTGATTTCCAATTAAACTGTGCAATTAGTTATTTTTTTACCTATATTTAATGCTCCATGTAAACGGCTAAAAATTGATGTAATGGAGAGAGGGTGAAAAAACTTGGAATTTGGAGATAATCTAAACAAGGGCCTAGGAAAACATTTCTATGGTTAACGGCACCATATGGCATTCACTCTGGATCTGTGCATGTGGTTAGTTTTAGGCAGTGGCGAGCCTAGGACCTGACAATCTTGGGCACCCGCCTAGACTCCATCATGGACATAGACTAAGATATTTGTTGCATTGCACCTCACTAATAAAAAGCTTAAAAACAGGCAATCTTATCGACGCCAAACGTTTCGCTCGAACTCTATTCGGAACAGTGGGTCCGCTTCTATTCGGAACAATGGGTCCGCTACTGGTTTTAGTTTCAGATCAAAGGTAGCGAAGTGACATAGAAAAAAAAAAGAATCCCGAAATGTTATGCAAGGCCCTAACAATTAGCTTCAAGATTCATAGCGCACGCCCCAATTCGCCGTCTTCTATTATTTTAACAAATAAGAAAAGGGTCTCTCCATTTTCTGAACAGACGTCCCGGACACGACGGTGAACTCTCAGCCTGTTCGCTTGCTCGTAAACGATCGTAAATTTCTAGTCGAAAATAGTATTTTTCTCTCATACCAAACCAGCCAATAATAAATAATTCACGATACGATACGGCCTCCCGAACAGACTGCCAGGTCTCCGTGCTACTAGAGTAACCAGAGTACCAGACTACCAACCCTTCGTTGGACCTTATTTAGTTGGCGAAATTTTTTTTGGGGAAATGATATTGTAGCACTTTCGTTGTTATTTAACAATTAGTGTTCAATCATAGTCTAATTAGACTTAAAAGATTCGTCTCGTGAATTTCGTCTAAACTATATAATTAGTTTTATTTTTTATTTATATTTAATGTTTCATGCATGTGTCTAAAGATTCAATGTGACAGAGAATCTTAAAAAAATTTGCAAAATTTTAGAACTAAACAGTCACTTGGTTGCAAAGAGTCGGTCGGTCGTTCGCTCCGTACCTCTCTCTCTCTCTCCATGTACCATGTTGCTTCGGCTGCTCACAAACCTTTGCTTGCCATGGCTCGTTGCTTTGACCATGAGCACCTATCTGTTTGTTTGGTTTACTGACTGCTGTCACCGAATCGTCCTCCCTTTCCAGCAGGCAGGAACATTTGATGCAAACTTTTCCGGACAAGCTGCCGCTGTGCTGCGCCATGAAAAGGCACCCTGCCTGCCAATCTTCTCCTGGAGCACGGCACAAGGATTACTCCAACTAAAAAAGAGTTCAATTCTTGTTGTTTTTAAGGAGCCAAAAGAAACATATTATCTGTACATGACACCAAATAAATATATTATCTTCTACAAATCTCCTACAACTAAAAAGAATAAAGTGTAGACATTTTTTTTTGTGCGACATTTGTTTTGGATTGTCCGTTTGCCCACGCATGCGATCCCACGACATCTCCCGCATGCTGCGTCCTTTGGTGCGAAGAAAACACGGAAAGTCTTAACCCTGATTTGCATGCGCTATAAATACGGAAAGTCTTGACCCTGATTTGCATGCGCTATAAATACGGAAAGTCTTGACCCTGATTTGCATGCGCTACAAACACGGAAAGTCTTGACCCTAATTGCCTCAAACAAGGAAAAGTGTAGGATCTCCAGGAAGATAAAGAAGGCCTAGAGAGGGAGGTGAATAGGCCTATAAAAATTCAACTCAAAACTCTATCAGAACAGACACTGCCGCTCTTTAAAAATAAATCTAACATAACTGAGATTTTACAGAGATGAACCTGACCCCATTAACTGCTTAATCCTACAATAGAAAGATAAGATCCGATTCAAGACCGAATACCACGAAACTCCACACAAGAGTGGATCGAGCAACCAAACCCTAACACCATAGCAAAGAGCTAAACCAAAGAAGTAAACAAGATGAAGCACGCGAGACACAAGATTTATCCCGTGGTTCAGCTCACCACAAAGGTTTGCCTAAGTCCACGTTGTTGAGAAAGCCACAAAAGACTTGGGCTTGCCACAAAGGCCTGCCTTACCCGCGTTCTCAAATCAAGAGGATGAACTCTTGAAGTAAGAGGTGATTTCTTAGCTTCGAGAATGAGGTTACAAACCTCCCAAGGCTGCCACACGAGTTGGCAAGCCCAAGGACGACACCTAGCCGGCTAGGAGCAAGCTCCAAGAGTAACAAACCCTAAAACCGCCGGCCAAACATGAACCAAATGCTCTTAGACTTTAAGAATCAGTAGATCTGCTCTCCAATCAAGTTTTGCTGCCTTTTCTCTCAAGTGTTGATGGTTATAATCAAGGATTTGCTTGAGAGATGGAGAAACAACAATGGAGGAGAGAGGGTGAGCTTTGGTTCTGTTCTGTTTCGAGCAGAATGGCTGAGTGAAGTAGATGACCGTTGTGGGCTGGGCCTGAAGGGTATAAATACCCCTTGGGTCCAACGGTCAGTTAAGGGCGGCACTGCCGCTCTTAATAGGACGGCACTGTCGCCCTAGCCAAAACAGGTAAATTCAGGTGAAATTTGGTTGATTGTTTTGACTAGGTGAGAGGATGTAGATCTAAGAATTTGAGCATCTGGTTCAACAGTTGACCAACTATCCTAAAATCTCTCTTAATAGTACGGTTTTCTCTAAACTCAATTTCAAAACATAAAAGAATTTAAACCTTCTTTGAGCTAGGTCTAGCCACCTTTTATAATTAGGACACCTGCAACCTGTACATCATCCTTATTTTTCGATTCCCTGCTTGTCATCTCGATAAATTTCATTAGTCATCTAATTTGGTGGTCATATATGCCAAAACCTACAATAGAACTTGATTGCACTTACAATCTCCTCCTTTTTTGTGATTGATGACTACCCAAATACAACTTACAAAAGATATGAAATCTAAACTAAGATTTTCAAAC